TATAAATGATACATAATGTATATTTGATATAAATGAAACACAATTTATATGCGACATACATGAAACACAATTTGGATTTGATATAAGCGAAACACAATTTATATACGACATAAGTGGAACGCAATTTAAATTCGATATAAGTGAAAAGTAATTTATATTCGATATAAATAAAACACAATTTATGTGTACACGATGTAAGTGAAACACAATTTAAATTCGACATAATTAGAGAAAAATTTCAATTCAACATAAGTGAAACAGAATTTAATTTAACATAATTAAATTCATCCACAATGTTTAAAAAATTGGAACAAAAACTCAAGACTAATTTGTAAAAATTGTTAGTTTACTAAAAACTTGCATAATTGAACAACTAATGAAAGTTAGTACCGTTATCATCAATTCACAATTACTTCATAATTATTTAGAAAAATGAAACGAACTTCATATTAATAATTATTTAGTACCACCAATCAAAAATGAAAACACCTACAATTCAATAAATAATAATGTATCTATAAAATCGTGTAAAAAAATAAATTTATTAAAAATTACATTTAATTATGTTAACTAAATTTAGTTTAACATAATTAAAAATTGCATTAAAATTGCAATTTTTTAACGTGAATGTAATTTTGAATTGTATTAAAATTGCATTAAAATTGCAATTTTTTGACGCAAATGTAATTTTGAATAAATTTATCAAAAATCTGAGTAAGAGTTTACTAAAATGATTAAAATCGAAGAATTATTAAAACATCAAAACGCAGCAGTGATATTTTGCATAAATCCTCCGCACCTGACCCAATTTTCTTTCTTTCGACAATTCAATTTCAAACATATTGAAATTCGATGAAATTTCTTCACTCGTAATAGCAACCAGTTCATGAAATTCACATTTATTCAATCTATCCCTCAGTATTCGATTCGACTCTGAATTGCAAGCGATTTTCGATTGTTCCTCCTTTTGTGTTAATCGTTGCGTACTGTTGAACATAATAAAATATAATAAAACACTCCGTTTCGAGTTGTAATGGTTGTAAACGTTTATATGAATATTGTCTAGTGAGAAAAAATATGCAAAATATATTTCAATTATTTTTGGACGTTGATGTATGAACTACTGTCGTGAGCACCTTGGGGATTTCTAGGGAAATTAACGAGATGAAGTTTGGAAGTTTATAAATTTCGGAAATTTCATAATTTGTACTTTTGGAATTTTAGAGGTTTAGTTTTATAGAGTTAGAAATTTGTGGCAGAAATATTGAAATAATAAGAATTTTGGAAATTTAGAAATTCTACACATTTTAGAAAATTAACAATTTTTAGCTGTAATTTCAAATTTTATAAGGAACTAATATTTAAAATTAGAAGTTTGGGGATTTGGGAATAAAGTAAATTTGAGGTTTTGAGGAAAATTTTGGGAATATGCGAATTTGGATGTTTGAGAATTTCGGAAATTTTGGGATTTGGAAATTTTGGAATTTGGGGAACTTAGAATTTGAAAAATTTAGAATTTGGGAAATTTGGAACTTGAGATATTTGGAATTTGGGAAATTTGGAATTTTCAAATTTTGGAATTTGGAAATGTGAAAATTTGAAAATTAATAAACTTGAAAATGTAAAAATATTTGCACTGAAAAGTTTAAAAATCAAAAAACTTTTATCTAAAAAAATTTCTATATTTCAATCTTGCAGCAATAATCATCACCTCTCCATATATTGCCATTTTCCTCACCCTGTTCGATATTTCTACCTCCTACCCTCACATCGCCATTTTCCCTAAAAATTCCCGCCGTGCTCTCAACTCTACATCTAAAATTCCATCTACAAATTGAAAAAAAATGTAACAGTACAAAACAATGAAAATGGAAGAAAATATGAGAAATGTTTTTGGAAGGAATTTGCAATCACAAACACATAACTGTTACGATACAACATTAAACTTAATGAATATCCTACATTTATCACAACTATTAATCACAATTTTGTTAATAAAAAATATGAATATATAACTTTAATTAATAATACTAGCAAGGTTAAATATTATCTTTTTTTTTTAATTAATTCACTATTTTTTTTCACGCAAACATAAAGTATATATTTGACTAGATCATTAATACTATTATTTAAAGAAAAACACAAAAATGTTTGTTAATATTTTTATCTAATTTTTATACAAATATAATAGATGAGACATTTAAGGTCAGTTATCAAAAATTACTGCTGCAACTTAGGTCTTAGAAGCACGAAACTGGTGTTAATTACCATGTTTCAATGTATTAACTAATTGTTTAAATATTATAGCATCATATAAATTCAGTACATATATAGCAAACTACTTTCCACATTAAATTATAGAACTGTGTATATTGGTTATTAAAAAATTTGAGTTTGTATAATAGTTGCTTAGAAAAGAAAATCACATACGAATATTAGTCTTTTTATGTATATTTAATATTTAAATTAAAACTTGTTGGTGTACTAACAAAAATTTAGTTTCATTAATGAACAAAAGAAACAACAAATAAAGTAATACAAATAATATTAAAACTACAGGAGACTAGGTGTCAAAAGTAAAAAGATTAACGAGTATTTCCCGCCATAAAATGGCGGTATGTTCCATATTACAGTCATGGAGATAAATAAAAATAAGTTATATAACATACAAAATTCAATGGAAGAACGTTTGTTAAAATATGTCATTTATACTAAAACAAATACGACGTCAAAGATATAGAACACACTAATATAATATAATATACTTCATTTATGTCTTATAATTTATAATTAGTAGTCAACTTGTCAATTTCACCAATATGCAATTCTAAATAATCAATAATTACTGAAAACTATTATTATCAATAGACAAATCCTAGAATCACAGTAACGTGAGATGCAATGTAAATATTACCATAATTCATAAAACAAATATATCAATACAACTGTAAAATAATTAAAAGATTCTATAAAACGTTTTCAGCAAAGTTTCTCTTATACAACAGTTATTTCCTGCTTGAAATTATTTAAAGTCATAATAATTAATTGGCACCGTGTCACCTATGCGATAGGTTTGTTCAGTGATTAAAATATAGTTACATGCAAATACACAAAAACTAAATAATTTCTTGCTAAAAATCCAAGATCTTTGTTAAATCTCTATTTTCATTCGAGACTAATAATATTCTAAAACTACACATTAAATATAATTTATAATCATATCTCTTAACTTAAGACCACATTTAAAGCGTTCACATTTTTAACGCATACAGGGTGCCTCACAACTAGTAGGTCTCTGAAATAGCTGATGTGATTCTGAATAATATTTCCCTTTGCAAAAATGAGCTGTGAAGCTTCGTTTTTGAATTATTAAGGAAAAACACGGACCAATCAGAACGTGAGGATTACGCATGCGCAGACGCGAGCGCGACAGCTTCAAGCCTATAGGCTGAGCGCGTACTCCTCGCGCTCTGATTAGTCACAGCTTCGAGCCTAAAAAAAATTTATATTCATTAATATAAATTACTTGAAAATTACGGAGTGTGGAGTTATGGCACGCGAAAATTACGGCGCATAGAAATTTCGGCGCGTGGAATTATGGCGCGTAGAAATTTCGGTGCGTGGAAATACGGCGTGTAGAATTATGGCGCGTGGGAATCACGGCACGTGGAAATTACGGAGCGTGGAATTATGACGCGTGAAAATTACGGCGTGTGGTATTATGGCGCGTAGAAATTTCGACGCGTAGAAATACAACGCGTGGAAATACGGCGCGTGGAGATTACGGAGCGTGGAATTATGGCGCGTGGAAATACAGCGCGTGCAAATTACGGAGCGTAGAATTATGACGCGTGAAAATTACGGTGCGTGGTATTATGGCGCGTAGAAGTTTCGACGCGTAGAAATACAACGCGTGGAAACACGGCGCGTGGAGATTACGGAGCGTGGAATTATGGCGCGTGGAAATACAGCGCATGGAAATACAGCGCGTGGAAATTATGGAGCGTGGAATTATGGCGCGTGAAAATTACGGTGGTATTATGGCGCGTAGAAATTTCGACGCGTAGAAATACAACGCGTGGAAATACGGCGCGTGGAGATTATGAAGCGTGGAATTATGGCGCATGGGAAATACAGCGCGTGGAATTATGGCGCGTGAAAATTACGGTGTGTGGTATTATGGCGCGTAGAAATTTCGACGCATAGAAATACAACGCGTGGAAATACGGCGCGTGGAGATTACAGAGCGTGGAAATTACGCCGCGAGGAAATACAGCGCGTGGAAATTACGGAGTGAAAAACTATATTCCTTAATAATTCTAAAACGAAGCACACCCCATTTTTGCAAAGGGAAATCTTATTCAGAATCACGTCAACTATTTCAGGGACCTAGCTGTGAAGCACCCTGTAGAAACAATTCCTGAATGCAAAACAAAACCTACCTGCAACTAAAGTCACTAGAGTATTAAAACAGCGTGACAAGATCACGATAGCTATTTATCTAACTGCCAACGAATATTAGAGCTATTCAAAGGCGAAGGGGAGACTCGTTCAGAATCTTTATTTCAACTAATCAGAAAAGAGCCACTTGCAATTACGACCCTAAAATATGATCACTTTATTCTTTCAAGTTCTCTTTCTGAAGTGATCTCAAAAACTAAGAGTCGTCAAAAAAAAGAATAACCCTGAATCTCAAGGTCATCGATTTTGTATAATTGCAAGGAGTTAATCTGCCAAAGAATTTACGATTTTCGTGATCTGAGAGCTGATAACGGATTGAGCCGTCGTCTAGGTGTACTCTCGGTGGACGAAGAGCCACTTTTGTTTTTAGAAGGCTTAGACTTGCTCTTCTCTTTGCTCGTAGTGGCCGAGGAGGTTTTCACCGATTTCCCGGATTTGCTTGTGGCAGTGGACGAGCTTGTGCTCGTAGACACTGCCGTGGCTGTGGGTTTGTGTTGTGTAACAGGGTTCTGGGATTGGGTTTGGGTTTTAGGGCTTACTTGTACCTCACAGGGGGGCGGTGCGCTCCTGTAAGACGGCACGATTTTGAAGGTCACCGAACCTCGTGCTTCTCGCTGTAACAGAAAGCAAAGTTGTTAACAACTCTTCTGAATAGTCGAGGGTTTATGTTGACAAAGCCCAATGCTAGGTGAATTAATCTGATGAACTCTGCTGCGTTCTCGTTATATCGCGAGGTGATGTATCACGATGGACACGGGTTAGCTATCGTTCTGATACGGGATGAGGCACTTGTGACGGGACAGTTAAATTTGTCATTGGTGATAAGAAACGGGTGGGTAACTTGCTTGATATCGGGAAAGTGCAGAAACTTGCTGTATGTAGAATTATTCATGTACACAATAGTGCATATATGTGTAATATAGTAGATGTGATATATGTAATATAAGAATACAGATAATATAACATTCTATATTCTGCATACTGTAATGTTACAAGGTAATGATATATGTGAATAAAAATTATTAGCATTTTGTCAGTATGTGTCTCATGTGAGTATTCATATATGATCATTATACACATACGTATACATGTCATACATCTATATGATGCATATATCAGAGGTAATTATATTGGCACATACTGATGAATAAAAACTATTAACATTGTATGAGTATGTGTTTCATGTGAGTATTCATATATGAACATTATGCACATACGTAATACATGTAATACATCTATATGATGCATATATCAGAGGTAATTATATTGGCACATACTAATGAATAGAAACTATTAACATTGTGTGAGTATGTGTCTCATATGAGTATTCATATATGATCATTATACAGATACGTATACATGTGGTACATCTATATAATGCATATATCAGAGGCACATTATATTGACACATATTGATGAATAAAAACTATTAACATTGTGTGAGTATGTGTCTCATATGAGTATCCATATATGATCATTATACACATACGTATACATGTAATACATCTATATGATGCATATATCAGGGACACATTATATTGACACATACTGATGAATAAAAATTATTAATATTGAGTGAGTATGTGTTCCATGTGTGCATCAATATATCTTCATTATACATATACGTACACATGTAATACATCTATACGATGCATATATTAGAAACACATATTGACACACATTGATTAATAAAAGCTGCTAACATTGTATCAGTATGTGTCTCATGTGTGTATCCATATATGCTCATCATACATACATCTACATGATGCATATATCAGAGACATATTGACACAATGTTAATAGCCTTTACTTAAGGGAACCTATAGAGGATACATGAAGATTAATTGCACTTCCTTTAATAGGATTATATATACTTTTGGTTGCAAGGAAGTGTTCTAGGAAATGTTGAAGTATGTTATTCTAGAATGACGCATAAATAAACTATTTATGTGAAATTATCGTTTGATATCAAGCAAGCTTAGCAATATAATATGTTTCATATATTTGGCCTGTTTAAAGTGCTTCACCCTGTATACAGTTCTTCTATCACGATTATTTGTATACTTTTAAATCAGTTATCTATATTATTAATAATTACATTGACAACTGTTAAATGTAAAATATTAATTGGTAAATATGTAATGTTGAACCATTGCATTTTTAAAATGAAACAAAAATTTTGAAACTAAATTTTCTTTAATTATTTCTAACCTGTAATCTGCTGTGTTTTAGTATTTTAGTTATGAAACGAAAATGAAGGAAGCATTTTATTAATAATGTATGTATGAATCATGAAGAGCTTCAAGTATTGATTATACGTAAAATGGAAATATCTTATAATAATCCTACAACACTCGTTACATGTACACTAAAAATATTTGATTAATTATGTACATTAATGAAAATGGCTAGGTGTATATTATTAATTATTCGACGTCTTCCTAAGAACGTCATGGTGAGTTAACATTGGCGTAACTAGGTAAATTCTAGGTAACTTGTAAATACTAGATGCTGAGTCTATTTCTCACAAAATGTCGACTGCCTTCTCATATCGAACATTATTTAAAAATATCAAAAAATCGTTAAATTTCTTCTAAAATTCTAACTTCACAAAAATAAATATTTACACTCAAATGAAATATACAATATATCATTTACAAAACGTACAATAACATAAATGAAAATTAACTGAATTGAAAATTAACCAACTGAAAGTGAACCAACAAGCACTTGACACTTTCTAGAAATCTAAAAACCATCTCCTACTTAAAAATCATAGTTACCTCAATGATCTGAACCCATCAAAATTTATCTAACAACAAAAATACAAGAAACCGAAAAAATAATTCGATTATGAAATTTGAATAATTGACTAATGAACGATTTAATTATTCATCAAATACACTATAAACTTTGGATCACCATAACGAATGGAATATAATGATCAGTGATATCTTAATTAAATCATGACGTAATCATGTTTATTATTCATGATTTAATTTGAGAGGTCGTACTCACGAGTATCTTTTGCAAGGCATTGACAGATTGATTGGCCACCGGTATTCCGTTAATTTCTCTGATTTCATCGCCGACATGAAGTGTCGCTTGTCTGTGTATCATTCCACCGTGCATAATTCTTGCCACCACGCATTTCCCATCCTCGTTCATTTTTAAAGTGATTCCCTGCAAGTAAACAAGTCATTTCGTGACGTTATATAACGCGAATATAAAACAGAGTATTCAAAATAATTCCTTTTTATAAATTATGTTCTTAAGCAATTTATTATATTATTAAATACAATAATTTATTATATGAATTATATTATTGTTAGACTAAATGCAGAATTTTAACAAAATCTACAAAATCTATTTAAAAGTATCAAAATATATTTTTCACTTGAAAATCTTGAGTTTCAGTATTTTAAAATATTTATTTTTACTTGAAAATCAATTTTCAGTTCAAGCAGTAATATTTATTTTAACTTGACAATTAATTTTTTGCTTAAGCATTTTGTAATATTTAATTTAATTTGACAATTAATTTTTAGTTTAAGCATTTTGTAATATTTATTTTAACTTGACAATTTTTAGTTTTAGTATTTTGAAATATTTAATTTAATTTGAAAATCAATCTTCAGTTGAAGCATTTTGTAATATTTATTTTAACTTGGAAATTAATCCTCAGTTTAAGTACTTTGAAATATTTATTTTAACTTAAAAATCAATCTTCAGTTTAAGCACTTTGAAATATTTATTTTAACTTGAAAATCAATGTTCAGTTAAAGCATTTCAAAATATTGGATTTAACTTGAAAATCTATACTTTTAATTTGAAAATCAAAAGCTTCAATTTGAAATCAATACTTCTCCTCTCAATTTCACTTCTCAATTTGAAATTCAACATTCAACATTAATTAACATTCAAAATTTATCACTATTAAAAGTTTAACTATTTCTACACATTAAGGTTTAATAATTTAACAAACTATTAAGGTATTTACAATTTAATTAATAACACAGTACAGTTGATATAATAAGACATGACTGTAAGGTGTTTCATTAAAATTGACAAGTTTCTTCTACCATTTCACATATATTATTTATATTTGCATATTGCTGATCATTGTAGAATATTGAGAGTCTTGGAAACACCATTTAAACTAGTATTTATAGAAGTGTTCCTCACCATTGGCTCATCAGTATTCTTCTGGAACTGGACCAGCCTGACGCGTGTTACATTCTCGAGATCCAAGTCGCCATTTTGGCCCTCGAGATCATCGCCTCCGTTTAGGTATGGAAGTAGAGGCGGTGGAGTTACTCTGGTTGCTTCTTCACCGTAAACTTCGTGTCCAGCTACGTCATGTGCTTGCAAAAGCGCCTGTAACAAGATAACGGTATTGCAAATTAGAAAATTTAATAACTTCACACAGTTAACTTACGCAAAGTTGGCTAAATATTACTTCAAATAATTTGTTTCATTAAGAGCTCTTATTTCCTCCTTTATTACTTTCTTTTAATCAAACTGTTTTAATACTATAAGTATAATAACAAGCTTGTAATAACAACATTACAGTAGTTGTAATAACAACATTGTTAACACATACATAACTTTACAAGGTACATTTTGAGAAAACAGAAAAATTTGCAATTACAAAGAAAGATTTTTAACAATTTTGTTGAACAGTCGATATTAACACTTTAGTGGCCGCCTATTTAATCAAATGTCGTCAGGTCAGTAACATTTTTGAAGAATTAATTTAAAAAAACTTTACGTAAATTCACCAAACAACACACATTTAATACAACAAATTTAATATTTTTCTTTGTGTGATAATTATTAAAGCAACATATGTGACACACATATGTAAGCGGCCATTAAAGTGTTACACAACGTATGTAATAAATAATTATTTCCTTATATTTGACAAAAGAATTTGCACCAAATACTTGCAATGAAATTCAACGAAAAGTTAAGGAGGTTTTAAAAAATAAAAACTCTTGGAAAAATTACTAATCAAGTCATATGCAATAAATGTCCATTAAACCAAGAATGATTATCAGTCATCGCAAGAATGATTATCAAGTCATGGTCATCGATATCTCGAAAGTTGACTAGTTTCTACTCTAGAAACTTATCCCGTCATTTCAGCACAAATAGTTAACATCGGCGATTGAAATAAGAGAAAAAAAAATTGATCGTCCACTGTATCGGATGCAATATCGCGTGTCGCTTGAAATGCGTCTGTCCTCATCGTAAACACACGAGTGGTTGTGTGTTTCATCGGCAGAGGTTCGGGATATTGCGTCCTCCGCTTCTATTTTCTTTTTTCGTTTGTTCACAGGGAATAAGCGTGAGAGTGTGTTTGATCGATTATTTATTGCAAATGGAAAGTGTTGCGTGGAAAACCGGTATCGAAACAATATTTACAAGCATGGAGACACAATAAACTATTTTCTGCGAGCGAAAAAAGTATTAACTAAAAGCAGTTTTTGAAATAGTTCCAATTTTTAGATACGGTTATACGAGTAATAGAAATCCTGCTGTTTCATTGTATTCTTGCTATATTTTTTTTTTAATATTTTAGCGTTTAATGTTATTTTATATGAAGGCTTATTTGATATAAGGGATGGTGATGTGTAGACAATAAGGTGCTCGACTTTTAGAAATTTATTTTTCATAAAGCTTGATGTTGCATAATATTCTTGCTACATTTTTTTGTAATATTTGGGTATTTAATATTATTTAATATAAGGCACTATTTGATATAAGGGATGGTAATGTACAGACAATAAGGTGTTCGACTTTTAGAAATTTATTTTTCATAAAGCTTGCTGTTTCATATTCTTGCTATATTTTTTTTTATATTTTGGAATTTAATATTATCTAATATAAGGGGTAGTAATTTATAGACAATAGGGTGTTCAATTTTTAGAAATTTATTTTACACAAAATTTTTTATTCTTGACAAAATAAATTTTTCTGAACTGAAAAATTGATGGAGGTATTTTTTGAAGAAATTCTTCAGTCATTAAAATTTGACAGAGATATATTTATTTATGAAGTCATATTCACCCCCTCGATATAATACAATAATGCTCCATTTACTAATATGTCAGTTAACCTACAAACTTCCTACTTTTGAAAATAACCAAAATAAAATTGTAATTTGTTAAAATAATTGAATACGTGATAAAACATATCTTTCATCGATTTGTAATAACAAGTTAAAATTCACGATACATGAATATTTTCGTTTAATATGTATTTTGAATTACCAGTTAAAATAAGTGCATATAAACAGCACAGAAATAAGTGTGCACAGTAACTTGTTAGTTTAAGAGAATGGTAAACATTAATTTCGGAGAACATCATATTTAAATTAATGCATAAACACGCGAGTATCATGTAAATTGTAAACCGTTGGAGCTACGTATTGATTCAGCATCCATGGCTTCGTAAAATGTTCATTTAATAAGAACAAATAAAACTGCATTTCACAAAAATAGACATGTACATGCAAAATTTGTTGGAATATTGAATGCAACGAACTGAAACAATTTTCTTCTGGTTTCAAATTTTTTAGGGGTTGAAAATTTACATTTATGGAATTTTGGGATTTTTGAAATTTTGGGGTGTTTGAATTTTGGAATTTTTGGATAGTAGAATTATAATGCTTTAGAATTCTAGGATTAGGGGTTTTGCGAATTTTTAATTATTAGAACTTTGAATTTTAGGGTTTTGGAATTTTTTAATATTGAAGTTTTGGAATTTTAGGATCTTAGAATTTTGGGATTTGGAAGTTCTATTTTGTTAAAATATGGAATTTTGGGATTCTTGGATAGTGAAATGTTGAAAATTTAGAAATTTTAAACGAAGAATAATTTTCTCCATTTTTATTCAACATTTTTATAACACCCTCGTTTCATTTTACAACTTTTATTATCAAACATGTACCAATAATCCATCAAAAGAAATATTCTATCCTTCACCCTTAATTACCAAGTTCAGTCTTCCCTGCATCACACAACAAACATAACCTCTACAACTTAATTTCGTATGAACTCCTTCAAGTCCATTAACCTAAATATTCATTTCTAAAAATGAAGATAAGCTTGCTGATGCGCATTTCCCATAAACAAGAAAACTTACATCGTCTAACCAGTAATTATTTCCAATAAGAGAAGCATGAAACATGCTTCCTGTAACATCAAAGAGCTCAGAAATCAAACATCGACGGTGACATAGTCTCTATAAACTGCACAGCTGATCGCGACACATAGGTAGCTAGCAATTACTTGCAACAAGTTATCTGCATCGAATGCTTGAATTTGTGGTTCAATCATGGCCCTGCAATTCCAAGTTTCAACTCTTACTAAAGCACGTTTCAAACTGTCATGATCAATTGGAAATTCTATGACGTTAATTTGTTTCAAAGTTAATTTCCTTAACGTCACGAAAAGTACTATGTCGTTTGAGGGCGCGGAGTATGATTTTGTGGATGCATTTCATGTTTCTACAAATTCTGACGTATTTTGTTTGATTTGGGTTGATGGATGTGGTTTTACAAATTTTTCTTTTCATTTTGTTGCTTTGTTATTTTGTAATTTTTTTAATTTCAAGAGATAGGGGCTTGTTTATAATTTTAGGGGCAGATGATTATTTTGTAATTTCAGTTCTAGGTTATCAGTTCTTTAGAATATTAACTGTAGGTTATAATTTTAGTGGTAGATAATTTTTCTTATTATTTCAGTGTTAGATTCAGGCTTGTTTATAATTTCAATGGTGGATGATAATTATTTTGTAATTTCAGTTCTATGTTATTCTTCAGAATATTAATTCTAGCTATTTGTTTATAATTTCAGTGGTAGATAATTATTTTGTAATTTCAGTTCTAGGTTATAAATTCTTTAGAATATTCACTCTAGGTTATAATTTTAGTGGTAGATAATTTTTCTTATTATTTCAGTGTTAGATTCAGGCTTGTTTATAATTTCAATGGTGGATGATAATTATTTTGTAATTTTAGTTCTAGGTTATTCTTCAGAATATTAATTCTAGCTATTTATTTATAAATTCAGTGGTAGATAATTATTTTATAATTTCAGTTCTAGGTTATAAATTCTTTAGAATATTCACTCTAGGTTATAATTTTAGTGGTAGATAATTTTTCTTATTATTTCAGTGTTAGATTCAGGCTTGTTTATAATTTCAATGGTGGATGATAATTATTTTGTAATTTCAGTTCTATGTTATTCTTCAGAATATTAACTCTAGGCATTTGTTTACAATTTCAATATTAGACAATTTGTTTATAATTTGTCAATATTAAACATTAATATCCACACGATGATATCAGACATTTCATATATTCACATTTCAAACTACCTTTCAAAATAATAAAAAAATTATCAAGTTATTCCCAAATTTAACAGCAAAACACAGTAATCCCACAGTATTTCAAATTAATTATACTAACCACGTAGCACAAGAGAAACCCAAACTTGTCTAATAAGTTACATTATACAGATTAGTTTAATATCTACATTTTAATCGCCTGTATCCACATAGTTGCATTCAATGTATCACACGAGTGAAGTTTGTCGGGAAAACGGAAAATTACCAGAGAGCCAGTAGTTGGAAATATCCAAAGCTGGAAGTTGACTAATTGGCGAACTAACTAGTTAAAATTTGGAATTCACCGGAAACGATTACTATTCAATGTTTGAACTATCGTTGACGAGGAAATAACAGTCTGAAGATTTCATATATTTCCTTTGATTCCACCATTTCTCATTTTAATTATCTTCAACGTCAGATGTATTAAAATTTGAACCATTTTAAATTTATAAAATCGAAAGTCAACTTAAATTTTTTTAAGTTTAAAATGGGGCATTTTTATAAATTTAAAATGAGTTAACTTACATTTTTTCAAGTTAATTTTCCTTCACTTACTAACATATGTATGTTCAACTGTATATTTAAATGACTATGAAAAATTTTTATTAAAAGTGAAAAGATGAAGATGTCTACCAAATTCTATTTTTACATTTCTCCTTTGTAACATTCCAACAAATATTCCCATGAATACAAAATACCTGATTCATAATTTTGGGAAAGGTAGACTACGTCAAATCAAATAGCATAGAGGAGACATCTCATCGATTTCCATTTCTAAGGCATCGACACGTACAGTGGATTCCAGACCCTTTTCACGATCCGTAACGAGAGAAGAGTCACGTCGGTCGGCTCGAAAGTGGTGGAAAAAAGAAGAAATAGGGGAAAAGTGGAGACAGCTTGTTCTGCGACGTACGATACGGCATGTCGTGGGAAATGTTACGTTTCAAAGTGTCAGAATAATTCTCTGGAACGATGCCAGT